ACTCACAAACACTCGCTCTTACACACACACACACACTCACTCACACACTCGCTCTCTCACACACACACACACACACTCACTCACAAACACTCACACTCACAAACACTCACACTCGCTCTCACACACAAACACACACACACTCTCAAGCTGCAAATCTGCAGTAATGCTCTCGTTTACTTCTTCTCACCATGAAGAGGACAAGAACATGAGGAAACACTCAGCCACAGGCGGCACAGACAAAAATACACTTTATGAAGCTGTAGTTACAGTAATAAGTGTAGTAAACAGTAAAGACGGTGGCGAGATGATTATCAGTCTGCAGCGCTGCTGGAGGAACGTAACGCACTGCAGACACACAGAACCTCCACTCATTCACACACTCAACACAAACAAGCAGAAATAAAACTATTTCCAATTACAATGTGTGTGTGCTTTTTAAAAATCTTCAGATATCACAAAAACAACTGATCAAATAAATAAAGCGACCCCAGTTATTGCATTAAATTTCGCAGGCGTTTTTATCCAAAATGACTCGCAAAGGACGTTTTTCCTCAAAACATGGCCTTTATGCAATATAATTACCAGATGTGGGCAAACTGCACCAGGAAAACAAATATGAGAGACATAAATATTCTACAAAATTAAAAGGCAGGAAATGTAACTTATTATGATTAAAATAATACAATATAAACATTTTAAATATTCATAAAAACATGAAATGACACCGAATTAAAATTCAACAAATTTTATTTGTTTCATTTTTAATTATGCTTCATGTTTAATTACACTCATGGGTGGCATTTAATATGAAAATGACATCTGTTTTCAATAAGTGTTGACATTTCATGAATGTAAATCGTTTGTTAATGCATGTAAATGTGGTAATATAAGCTCAGAATTACACTGTTAAAAATTACAGAATTACAATGTTAAAAAGCAGGAATCTAAGCAGGACTGAGAGCATAGGATCCATTACACTCATATTCTTTAATTGCAAGGCTGCAAAATTGTGAGCGTAGCAGAAGCGCAGCTAGTGAACGCACAGCGATGCGGTGAGAAGCTGCAGAAAATGAGTCCACAGCAGAGATGGACGAACCACAAACACTGCATTAGTCAGACTCAGAGATGAGTCAAAACGGAGAAAACACACACACTCGAACAGACACTCACTCGCACACACTCGAACGCACACACACACACTCGCACACACACTCGAACACACACACACACTTACTTGCGCGCACACACACACTCGAAAACACACACACACTTACTTGCGCGCGCACACACACACACACACACACACACACACACACACACACACACACACACACACACACATGCGCTTTATCTCAACTGAATGCAGGGGCAGTGCCTTTCACAGCAATTAACACACACACACACACACACACACACACACACATGGGCATGGCCTATCTGGGTTTAACACACAGTAAGACACAGTGTGCAAACCACAGGCTCTGAGAGCTGATATGAGCCGAGGCCGAGACACAGAGACACCAGACGCTCCAGCAGGGCGTTTCCACTTGCTGTTACACAGACAGACAGACAGACAGAGAAACATACAGAGACAGACGGACAGACAGACAGACAGAAAGAAAGAAAGAAAGACGGAGAGACAGGCAGACAGACAGACAGAGAGACAGACGGATGGACAGACGGACAGACAGACAGACAGAGACGGACGGACGGACAGATGTTTGACAGACGGACGGACGGACAAACAGACAGATGGACAGACAGATGGACAGACAGACAGACAGGCAGACAGACGGACAGGCAGACAGACGGACGGACAGAGAGAGATGGACAGACAGACAGACGGACAGACAGACAGACGGACGGACAGAGAGATGGACAGACAGAGAGATGGACAGACAGACAGGCAGACAGACAGACAGGCAGACGGACAGACAGACAGACGGACAGGCAGACAGACAGACAGATGGACGGACAGACAGAGAGACAGACGGACAGAAAGATGGACAGACAGACAGACGGACGGACAGACAGGCAGACAGAGAGATGGACAGGCAGACAGAGAGACAGACAGACAGACAGACAGACAGACAGAGAGGCTGACAGACAGGCAGACAGACTGACAGAGAAAGACAGACTGACAGACAGGCAGACAGAGAGATGGCCAGGCAGACAGACAGACAGACAGACAGACACAGAGACAGAGAGACAGACAGACAGACAGACAGACAGACAGAGAGGCTGACAGACAGGCAGACAGACTGACAGAGAAAGACAGACTGACAGACAGGCAGACAGAGAGATGGCCAGGCAGACAGACAGACAGACACAGAGACAGAGAGACAGACTGACAGACTGACAGACAGGCAGA